CCCCAAAACCCCAAAACCCCAAAACCCCAAAACCCCAAAACCCCAAAACCCCATTTTTAGAATTTATGGCTGAATTTAATTATTTTTAAGAAAAATGTTCACGAGAATCGCCTTAAAGCCCCGTTTATATTCAAGGTTAATGATGAGAACACCCAGAATGCTCTCAACAGTCAAAATTGCTAATTTTGGTCAAAGTATTGGTGGAGAGAAAGCTCCTATAGAGAAGGTTAAAGTGATGCGAAAGTTCAAATTTAATTATCTCCATAACCTTCCATATGATCTTTCAGGCACTCATGCAATTCCAAAACTGCAGGAAAGAAATTTAGTTGAAGTTTTTCTTGACTACAAGGTAATAGATGATGAATTCCTTACTGATAAATTCCATGAAATGCTAGTTGACCTCTACACTGCAATATCTAATAAAGATAATGATAAAATTTCTAGCCTTACAGAGACACGGTTTTGAGAGAGAATTCAGAATTCCGCTAGGGAAACCGAGGAGTCTCTAGAATTCATCCCTAACGAAATCCCTCATATCGAAAGGGCTCCAGAAGACCAGTCATATATCTTTGATAAAATTTTTGAAAAAGGGGTATTCTTTGATCGTGAAAAGAATGATACTAATTATGACTACTTCTTGGATAAAATGTTTGAGTCTGAAGGGATTAGGTACTACCAACATAAATACATTGCTGATCATGATATTCACTACTATCTTGCCAAATATGAGCAGCAGCATCAAGACCGTGAAGCTAGATTCAACTACAAATATTTTGCAGAAGAAAGAAACCGGTCAATGGTGTTGAGAGTTTATGGTGTTTTCAAAAATCTTGGAAGGTTTAAAAATCAAGGTAAAGACCTAGTCTCTAAGAAATACACTGGAAATCACATGGTTATCTTTGAAAACCAACTCCATGAGTCTGATATTCTTGAACTAACAGATCCTGATATGGAAGAATGGATTAAAAACTATAAAATCAACCATAATAACTGGAAAATTACTGATATTGATAACTACATGAAAGGTGAGGAGCATATATAACTCTATAGGTAACCCATTCTTTAGTAAAATGATGGACGCTTCTGAGTTCAAAGATTTTGTTTCTCAGGTGAAGAAGAAAAATATTCCGACAGAAAAAGATCTACCTAAAACCATAGGAAAGTACAATCTATTGTAAAATATATTTTTAATATCTAGAGATGATGCTGACCAGAGAGATGACGAACAGATCAAGAAAATGGAGGAGTTTTTGGCAAAGAACAGTAATTTTGGAAAATAATATTTTATCTTTCGCTAATATTTCCCAAGATCCTTAAAATATTCAGTCTTTTATACTTTATTCTGAATTATTGATGCTCAAATGCACCTTTTAGCCTCTCTAGGAAACTCCAGGCAATAATCTTATAAAGTTTGCAATGAGCATCTCAGGGAACTTCGCAGCTTTAAAAGCATTTCAATATTTGCCGAAATTTAAGGGGTTTTGGGGTTTTGGGGTTTTGGGGTTTTGGGGTTTTGGGGTTTTGGGGTTTTGGGG